TGTTTTAACGTGAAACTTACAGGAATCGAAACCCAGTTTTGATGATGTACATCATGATGGACGAAATCTCAGCACATTTTCACCCGAAACGGGGGAGGAAGTCTTGTGGACTGCATCAAAATGAATATCGTATAAAAGCCAAACGGCTGCAATACAACGACAGTCATCCGTCCTCATCTGGTGAGATCGACCAACGAATCTATTCTTCATTCGGTTTCATGCGAACTGAAAGTCCCCCTAAAAATAATTTATTCTTTTGGAGACTTTCATTTCGCTTGCAATTGCATGATGTGGAGATTCATGGGTCGATCTCACCAGAAGACGATGGCTACTTCTAGTTGTGGTACAGCCCTTTGGTTTTGCTACGACGCTGTCCACGAGACATTCTCCCTCGTTTCGAGCTAAATATGACTGAGCTTTTGTTCCTCATATGACGAGCATAATTAGAACTGGGACTCTTTCTTGTAAAGTCAAGATGACTCAAAGAGAGTATATCTCTTGGACTGCGTCAATTTGAATCGACAGTCGTCTTCTGATGAGATCGACCTTCGAATCGCGTCATTATGCATTTTCATAGGAAATGAAATCATTATAACAATTTTATCTCAGGATATTCATCAAAACCCTCTTTTTCTAATATACAAATAATTTGTTTCAGCAGGCCTCATACTCCTAATAATCATTGACTTTAAAATTAAAATCTTAATTTAGCAACTATGGTTGAAAAGAAATCTAATACATCGACCAACATAAGTTGGTTTCTCATAAACATCTCTGCCTATTTGATCGTTTTTTAGAATAAACGGAATATCCAAAAGTGGTAAACTCTTATCCTTTTATGTCCCGATTGTGAACCTAGTTTTTTTTCACTGTTTAAGTAAAAGTGGCAAAATATCTTATCCTTCTTTACCATTTTGCTAAATGATAAAATGTCAACCCATGTATCTAACAAACAATTTTGAGGGTAGAATTACCTCTTCCATTAAACATTCATCGGATTAAGTCATTTAGCTATTCGCCAAAATCGAAGCTATGCACGATCCAATCGCAACTCCTCGTGTGTCTTCATAAGACTTGTCTCCAAAGTTAAAATAAATACTACTTATGAATAGGTTGAAATGCTTTAGAAAGCAGACTATAGTAAATCTTACTCTATATGTATTTTTTAGGTCCTCCTTTAGACTGAGCATTAGAGTCGGAATGGCTCTCTTAACTTAAATGCTAGTGTACATAGGAGCTACATCATAACACAACATATCATTTAAAAAATTATCTACTTATCAACAAGTTAACAAATTCATAAGAATTTTTAGCTAAATATATACTAAATTTAATAGACTTCCTTATAATCGTATGCATCAAAAATCTTATTATTTGCCCTTAATCTAAAAGGAATCTCCTCCCTGTGACACAAATATCTAAAAACCTTATTCATAATACAAGGTTTCTTTGATGTGACTATCTGGTCAAAATAAGGAATCATTTCAAGCTCACTGTCGTTCATCACCTCAGAGAGCCTATCTGATAAGCTGATTATTCAACAAATATTTTCACAGTATGGTTCATTTCAATTGGATAGTACTTATTTTATCGAAGGTATGAAGACCAAGAAGTTGGTGTGGCCCTTTGTGTTTTCGCAGTCTCCTTTTGTTGTATAGAAGTTGTTTAGCAGGCAATTGGTCAAAAGATCGGCTTCACTTGTCTTTGACGAGTTGTGGTGTGGTGCTAAGAATAGTAGGACTTACTGACGATGCCTGCGAAACGTCTGGAAATGTACTACATCCACGGTCCGACTGGAAATTAGCATGCATATTATGGACTCCGGACTAGGTGCGTTCCTCTAAGTCTTCCTGCCAATATGACCAAGTTGCGAAAACAAGGTCAAATAACTTCAGTACTTATTTTAACTGACAGTATCTAATTATTTTGCAGTTACCTTGAATATAACTGTCCTAATTAATATTAAATAGAATTACTCAAGTCATTCCTTATCTATCTATGTCTATTTATTTTCCTTTATAATTATGAGTACAAAGAGCATATTAAATAGGGCTGGACAGTCTTCCTGATCTTACAAGAATAGGTTCCACCTCTGAGCACTCCCGTATTATGACGAGTGAAGGAATACTCCTATTTCACCATTAATGAAGGAAGGTGTCTCAGAAACTGTTTGAACCTGAAGGTTGTTTAACTTTATACTTTTTATTTGTTAGGCTTTCCGCAAATAAAACTAGGATTCTCAGTTTTGCTTAATCAATTCACTTCACCATTATAGAATTAAATACATTTACATTACAAGATAATATTGGATAAAATAAGACGTGATAAATTATTTGTACATATTTCTCCTTGAATCTTTTCGGATCGCATTGTCTTGTTTCATCACTTTGATATCTCAAAAAGGAGTTTGTTCGTTTTTGGCTTACTTTCGAACATTTTTCTTGGAACAACGCCCTAACCTAATATCTCAAATAACCTGTTACCATGCGTTCTACTACCTTGTATCCGTCTGCAGGTTACCATTTAAAGGTAGACCCATCCTTATATATCTTTCGGCTAGGCTAATCTGCTTGTTATAATAAAACTTTCATTTCTTATTAAAGTGCATGAGGAAGGGATTCGAAGATCGATCTCACCAGAAGAGGACGGCCGAATCACGTTGTACTGCAGCCGTTTGGCTTTTATACGACGTTCAGGTTGACGCAGTCCACCAGACATCCTTCCTGGTTTTGAGTGAAAACGAGCTGAGCTTTCGTCCATCATATGATAGACATCATCAAAGCTAGAACCCATTGTAAAAGTCTCACATTACGATTAGTCAGGAAGAATATGCGGCTCTATCTTACTTTTTATATAGACTCGATTAAGCAAAAAAAAGTTAAAAAGTCAAGATAAATATAAAACCGTTTGGATAATTATCTTTCTTATTGGTCCTGTTACTTTTGTTCGAGTTTTGTTTGTGTGTGTGTACGTTGACATCTAACGCAATTCCTATCATAAATCAGAATGATAAAAAAAGTTACTATCAGGTCATCAAGGCTAAATAAGCTAAGAAAAAGCCCTGACTGTGACTTTGTAAATCCGTAAGCAAGCATGATTGAGATAATGAGATGTGAACTTGCTAGCATGTAAGTCGGGTTACAAAACCACCTGTCCTAACCTCTCAGTCTAGGCTCATTAACATTTAACCACTCAAGGGAATGCACAATAGGCTGGGTAATCTCGTACGTCTGGTTTGGTTGATGAGCTTAATCTAAAATGTTGGACGAGTGTGAATGAGATCAGAACCATTACTGAGCGGACAAGTTTACTCGCAATCTCTTAGATGGAGGCCTAACACCCTCTCTCTTTTTCAATCTATCAATTAAGCATAAGTAATTCTTACTCTACTTTCTATCACTGTTTCTCACATTCAACGTACTCCCTAATCTATTAATTTAAATAGCCTCTCTTATCTTCTTTTTAACAACAGACTAACCATAATCAACAAACCTGCTAGTCTGAGACCATTCTGTCTCATCTCCAGTCTCTGCCATGTGTTTGGCCAATTCTGATTGTTGCACCCAGCTTCCTTTACAAGCATTTTTATGTTCCCATAATCTTTGTCGAAAAGATCGACATGTCTCACCAACATAAGGTCGACCACAGGAGCACACAATCTTGTAGCAGCCGAATCTCGATAATGGGCTATATTTCTCTCTAAAAGATGGCATAGCAGAAGAAAGTGGGAGGGTTTCTTAGAAGACTGTTTTTATCCCCCACTTTCTTACTAATTCACCTATCCTTTTTGAATAAAGCATGACGACAAAATTAGGACACGTGAAAAGGTCTCGGCTTGTCTATTTTTGACTAAATGGTTTCCGTCTAAGGTAATGAAGGACTGGTAGTAAAGTTTTCTCAATGATATGAGTTGAGCTGACGTTTCCATTGAATTTCACATAGCCTTGCTTTCCCAAAAGTTGTTCTCAGCCACGATGATATGAGTTAAGCTGACGTTTCCATTGAATTTCACATAGCCTTGCTTTCCCAAAAGTTGTTCTCATCCCTAGGCACCAGTGGTCTGCAGTTTCGACCTCGCATTGGTCTTATCAACACCCTCAGCGGGATTCGAACCGCGACGGCCGAGGTGGACTGCAGTTAACACCCTCAGCGGGATTCGAACCGCGACAGTGGACTGCAGTTTCGACCTCGAATTGGTCTTATCAACACCCTCAGAAAGATTCGAACAGCGACAGTGGATTATCAACACCCTCAGCGGGAGTCGAACCGCGACAGTGCAAGATGGAAGCTTGACACGTTAACACTGATTTACTGGTAGTCTCGAAACCCTACTCTCATACGAATATAATTAACGTAGTCGATTGCTATAGCAAACATATGTTTGCTTCATCGGTACTCCCACCAAAAAGAAGATGAAAGTACATGAATAAGAGATTCGTAGGTCGATCTCACCAGAAAAGGGCGGCTGAGTCCCGTTGTACTGCAGTCGTTTAGCTTTTATACGACGTTCAGGTTGACGCAGTCCACGAGACATTCGTTTCAGGTGAAATCGGGCCGAGCTTTCGTCCATCATATGATGGACATAATCAAAGCTGAGTCTCATTCCTGTAACACTTTAACATTAGAGTAAGAAAACTATTCAGCTCTATCCCACCTCTTATATAGAATCAATTAAGCAAAAGAAAATTAAAAACCTTGATAAATAATTGAGTCTATATAAGAGGTAAGATTGAGCCGGATAGTCCTCTTGACCTAGCGTTAACTGAGACTTTTACAAGAATGACTTCCAACTCTGAGGATGTCCATCATACGATGGACGAAAGCTTAACTCTTTT